GCCCCAGGCATGGCCTCCCTGTCACTCATAAAGGGAGGTGCTAGTGGGATGGTGCCTGTGGTTCAAGGAGTAGGGCACCAGCCCCATATACTGGGGGTGGCAGGTTCAAGCCTGGCCCTGGCCAAAACTGCAAAAAAAAAAAAAAAAGGAAGCATTACTGTTCCTTCCAACACAGATGAAAGAACTCAGGCACAAGGGGGTTAGGTATCTTATCCAAGGTCCCAAGTGGTACGGTCTAGAACCCAGGTCCGCTTGAATCCAGCCCTCTCCTGCGGGGTTGAGTGCCCTCTAACTGCCTTCTGGTACCTAGCAGCAGGCTGCTTGCTAATGTCCTGCCTCCCAGAGCTGCTGGGCCTGTTCCAGGGTCTGAGTCAACCACAGGGCTCAGTGAAATATCAATCTTCTCAGAGCTGACAGCAAACCTGAGGCCAAGACTGCTGCTTCCTAGGCCTGCTGGATGGGGCTCCCTCTGAGCAGGGGGCCTGCACAGGGGAAAAGGATGCAGAGGCCAAGGCTGACCTGGGCCAACACCAACCCCAGGTTAAGGCTGCCATGTGGCCAACTAGCAAGGCGCCCCCTCATTTGGAATAGCAGAAAGGTTTAAGAGAGGACAGGGTGAGCCCAGTGTGCTGTGCTAACAACCTGCTGATTCTCCTAATATGGAGATCCTTAAGGAGAGAAACTAACACTCCCCAAATTCCAAATTCTCATTCAATCAGGTGCCATGCTGGGTACTGTACTGACCACAGAGGTTAGGGACCAAGCTCCAGCTCTGCCCCAATGACCTTGATCACTCCTTGCCTCAGGTTCCCGAAAGTAAGTGAGGTTTACAACAGTGCCTACCTCACTGAGTACTAGGAAGTTTAAATGAGTTAATTTACATAAGGTGCTTTCAAGGGAAAGCTGCTAAATGAATCCATTTATATCACCACTCAGCAACCCTGAGGGTTAGTGTTCTTCTCAAGTGAAAATAATAAAGCTGAGACCCTCAGAAGGATGAAGCTGCTTGGCTCAAGGCCACCGCCACAAGTTGAGAGTTTCTCTGACCCCCAAGTCTCTGCTTGTCTCTCAGTGACTACAGGACCTGGAGCCCATGAAGATCCAGCCTGCCAGCGGTGGTGCAGACACACCTGAATGAATGAATGAATGAATGAATGGCAGAAAGGAGTGAGTTGCCTGTTAATAGCATCAAAACAGAGATGGTCCTGACTTAAAGTCTCAGTACTAGGCCAGTGGGGAAGGCACTTCACCCTGGAGGATGGAGCCAGTGTCCCGATTACTATACAGACACCAGGAGGGAAGCAGGGAGGTTCCACGGTCAGGTCTCAAGGCAGCACCTTGTCACTCAGTTACTAGCACAGAAGCACTCGGCCGCATTCAGACCTTGAGGCCTCTGGTCTTCACGTTCATGGGCCACTTGCAGCAGCCATCAAGTCAAGCTCACCCTAACTTCGACCTAACTCATCATTTCCTGATCACCCCAGTAACTTCCCTACACGGTACTCTCCTGTTTGTGATTCCTGCCATTGTCATTCCAGCATCTCAAACTCATTTCTTACTGTCCCCAAGCCCAAGCAGCACCAGACCTGCTGATTCTACCTGGGAACATCTCATGGCTCTCTCGCCTCTGCTTCCTGGTGCCACCTCCCTCATCCGGGCCACAGCGACTCCCGCCTTGACTAACTCAGCAGCCTGTTTGACTGGTCGGAGCCCCAGTGTCTCCCCAAAGGTTGGCACTCCTAACACATAGCAATGGGGTGGACGTCACCAGATTCACTGTCATTTCTAGGTCAACACCCCCTAAATGACCCTCTCTTCCGGTCAGTTCCCTAAAATTGGGACCCTGAACACTCCCTGAGAGTCCCACCTCTGCCTTTTACAAGGTTTTTGCCAGATCCCTCTGTCCCTCCCTCCTGCCCCTGAGCTCTTCTCCAGCCCTCTCTGATCCTGCCCTCCTCCACGCTCCTGGCAGTGCTGCCTGCACAGCTCACCTGGCCACCCTCCATCGTGACACTGACACTGTCGAATTGATTTCTAATAACAACTACCATTTAATGAGCACCACGGAGTCCCAGCCGCTGTGCTGGAGCCTGACATATATTACGTCATTCAATCTTTATGCAAGAAAGGGATTCTGATCATACCAATCTGGAAATGGGAAAGCCTGGAGCCCAGAGAGATGAAGCAACTCCTTCAAAGTTGTCCAGCAGGCGAGGGACAGGGCCCTTACCCTCAGTGTCCTCGGTTATGACACAAACCTCCTGGAGATCTGCTTTAGCTCAGATTTCTGGGGGAAAGTACTATTAAGTAATTTGACTGGGAAGATTTACCGCTGAGATATGGTACATACGTGGGGCAAGCTGCTTCTTAACCTAAGCACTTTGACATTCGGGGCTGGGTTAATTCTTTGTTGTGAGGGACTGTCTTGTGCATTTAAGAATATTTGCCAGTAGCTCTGGCTTCTCCTAAGCAGACACCAAAGAACCCTCAAAATCCCCCAATTTGAAAATCAAAACATCTCCCGACATCGCTAAATATCCCACGGGGGCTGGAAAGGACTGTTCCAGAGGCTGAGAGAGTGAACTTTGAAATTCCAGCTGCCAGGTTCAAGTCTCAGCTTTGCTATTTACTATGTGACTTTTTGTCTAGTTTCTTTGCCTCTCGATGTCCATCTCCCCGTATTTAAAACTAGGATACAATCCTTACAAAGGCCTATTCTGATGATGA